GCTGGGATGAGCCTGTCCCCTGATGACTCCCATTACAGAGCCTGTCACCTGCTGGGTGCTGGGGCTTCATGTTATGCCTCTCAGACAGAGCTCTGCTACCAGGGGTCCTTCAGGGTTCAGTGGCATGAAATGCTCAGCAAAACTGAAGGAACCCTGGACACCGATTGTAAATCCAAGCACACAGAGTGTAATAACTCTGCCAGGGAATCTATGCAGCTTTTAACATATGGAACATAAATGGGGAAAATATTGCTGGCTGTTGACCCACCACTTCAAAAGCACAGGGGAAGCAGAAAAGCCAGTGTATTACTGTGGCTGGGGAGAGACAAGGTTTACTTCCTGCTAGACATGTGGAGTCTCTAATTCTTTCTCCCATACTAAGTTAGAGTGTGTCACAGCCAGATCTTTCCCTCAGTCCCTGTGGCAACTAACTGTCAGGCATCAAGGGTGTATGGGCCGGGAGCGGTCCGAGTCCCTCGGGGGTTTTTTCTTCGCGTGGCGGGCTGTGGCCAGCAGCCCGGACACGCTGGGTCGGGGAAGGCAGGCAGCATGCTAGAATTAGGCACGGACGCTTAGTGGTTGATTTAAGATTATTTTACTTACACTGAAGATGGTCACGGTGCAGGCAGGAAAACTTGCTTGAGTTGCAGTTACAAAACAAAACAAAACTCGAACCTGCAGAACATGAGGGTATGTCGCAATGGGGTTTCGGCGACGGGAAGATGAACAAAAACCTCGAGAGTACGTCGCAATGGGGTTTCGGCGACGGGAAGATAAACCTGCAGGACTCGAACCCGGGTAGAGCTCTGGATTCACTCACACGAAGTTTGCTAGGCTCCGTGGAACTTGCGCGCAGGGAAGGGTACGTCAAGGGATCAGGCGGTGACGGAGAGAGGAGAGAGGTTGATCAGACCCCTATAGCCTTCTTGAGATACATGCTGGGTCCGATAGGCTCTGCAGCGCTTAGAGATCTTCACGAGACGTGAAGTTCTCCTCCTCCTGATAGTCGTGGAGTCCTCCAACTTGGGCGGAAACCGCTCAAGCCTCTTATACGGCTAGCAAGCCAATCGCTAGCCGCCACGTAGGAATAATTTAGAACTGGCCAATAGTGGGACGCAAATTTGAATACAAATGGCGGGAACTCCTTGCACCGTGCATTTCCTTTCTGCAGCTCAGAAATGCACCCTGCAAAGAAAGCTACAAGTGGCAGGAAATAATTTAGCAGTGCCGAAGCACACACAAACAAAAATCACACGCTTGGGTTGTGACAAAGGGAAGAATCCTAACTCACTTCACACATTCAAATGGCACTCACCCAGCTGTGTAACTGTGTTTTTTGTACTTGTGCACAGTTTGAGATCTTCTTTCATGTGCAGTATGGACACACAAGCACCCACAAGCATGCACAGTAGGTTGCGCTCTGGCTGAACAAGTATGTCACCCAGTATATGTACAGGCTGAACAGGTATGTCACCCAGGTAAGTGCAAGTCTCGAAACTGTTGTCAGGCAAGAACCCGTGAGTAGCAGGTGCTAGACAGAAGAGGAGGGCCCTTTCATGTTTTAGTCCATTAGCCCAGTGGTTAGGGGGGTTCTTTTCAAAGATGGTGTTAATCTCAACTTTCTCCTCTATGAACATTTTCTGAACTTTTGCCATATCCTGGCAGGGCTTTCAGGCTGAGACTGCTTGCTCTTCAGTGGCACAACTTGGAGCTATTAATTACTGTCTAGGTGAGCCGGGCAACAGTTGCTGCTTACAAACCTTTTCATTGTTTGACATTGTGGCCGAAATCCAACATTCCCCATCTCCCCCCTGGAGGTGGGTAAGTAGAGTTTATATGGCTAACTAATGGTGTGTTAATGCTGTGCAAAGGTAATTTCTGGTGATAATGTACATCCAGTTAATAGAAAATTAGAGGCTAGCAAGCATACAATGAAACTGCATGGGAATGTGTGATAAGGAAGTCATATCAATGCAGTATTTTTCTTTCCTTGAGGTCTCTGTTGTACGACTGCATTCCATCTGTAACAAAGAGATTATTTTTCAGTATCCACAAAAACTCATTCCATCACATTCAGAATTACTGTTATGAGTTATGGAAAGATTGGCCAGTCCAATGGCTCAATAAGCTCTACCCTCCTCAGTGACCAACACCCTACCTTAACATCACCCATAAAGAGGCAACGCACATTTCACTTCTCTAATTGCTGCATACGTTTTACTAACTGATTTTAAGCAATCCCAAATGGCACAGATCACCCATTCGGCCTTGTCTCCAAAGACTGTACAAAACCATACCCACAGCTGCCACTGACAGTCTAGTCCTGATCCAGTCAGTGGACAGACTCCAGTGGGCTTTAGATCAAGCTCTTTGATGCTAATTTAGGGCGTATCTATTTATTGCTTCTATGCCAGGCCCCAGGATTGCTGCTATGAAGCATGCTCCACCCCAACATTCTCACTCCATTTGTGTCACAGCCTGAAAATAAGGCAATGTAGCCACTTTAAAGCACTGCTGAGCACATTCTAGTGAGCATGCCTAAGACAGCAAGCCTATGAGTAATGTTGGTCACCTTAAAACAGCTATATGAGTTGATGTGTGATGGGTAAGTATGAGTGGGTTTCTTTTATGATAGAGTTCTTAGATGCAATGTAGAGGTGGTATAGACATGCCCTTACTTACAGAGTCATATGAAGAACAACATTGCGCTTTATGAAGTTTGTACTAATCCTCAGAACATGTGAACATGAAAACATAGAGTTAAAACTACCCATTAAATTGTTCACAGTGATGGTGACACTATTTTGGCTGTAGGGGCTAGAAAGGGGGTGAGGGAGAAGAAATGTTACACTGAATGAAGGGTAGATGAGATATTGCTTTTGCTTTTCATTTGTGGGCCTTATGGTTTAGCGATTTTAACTCACAGCTTATTAAAACTATGTGGGACAATAGTTATTTCTAGCTAATAACTAATATGACATACTTATCACTGAAGTATTCAAAATAAACCCAATGTGCTTTGCCTCCTGTAATGTTTCTAACAAATGAGTGTTTTATGAAAAATGTGTAAATGTATAACTCAACCCAGAGTATGGCACAGTCTTTGTAAATGTTAACCCAAGTATTAAAAGCTATTAGCTCATTTTTGAAGAATGGGTCAGCAAAAAATATGCTTGTTTTGCAGTTCCAGTATTTCTTAAGCACTGTTCCATTTATGACTTCAGTAGAAAGATTCAAGGACTGTTCTCAGTTTGAAAAAGTAAATCATAGGAGAACTTCAAAGTGGGATATATTTTTAAGCCTCTTGCCAAGAAAGGTGTTATCACAAATGTATTAGGATATATTATCACTCTCCCACACATACACATGCATGCATGCATTGGGCTTTCTTCCCTTGCAGGAAGTGTGTCTACTGATATCCTATAACAAGGATCTAAACACCTGTGAGCAACTTCACTGCAGCGAGTATCCCAATGACTGAAATGAACTTACACACTTAAGAAAAACTAGTTTTGTGCATAATTGTTTGCAAGATCAAATTCTAAAACATTTTTATGTTAGGGAGGCTAGAAGCCAAATCTTCATTTGGTGTAAATCAGCACGGTCCCACTGCCTTCAACAGAACTATACTGGTTTACAGCAGCTCATGATCTGGTTCTGTTAAGAGTTAGTAGTGATCCCATGAACAATAAAGGCCAATTTCTACTATTCTTAGTGATGTTGATTAGCATCTTCCTCCATAACAGCCCACTGAAATGTCTGGGGGCACATCCGGATGTGAATAAGTTGTTACTTGACATAAGTAAGGGTTGATGCTAGAAATACAACTTTCATTAAAGTATATTTCAGTCCTCCTCCCAGGTTATTTCTTTATAGCAGGAGCGGGAAAGATCCAGCTCATGGGCTGGATCCAGTCTGTGGGACCACATCATCCAGCTCCTGGTGGCCACGAGTCTCGACTGCCCCACACACCACGTGATACACATCAGACCAGCCCCATGTGCCCACTCTGGGACCTGTGCTGCACATAACACCCACACAGAGCCAACCTGGGACCTCCTTTGCAGGCAGAATCCTGGGCTCCCTACAGCCAGTCTGGGACTGCACTGCATAGGATGCCTGTTGCAACTGGTCTGGGGTAGGGCAGCATGTGCAGCCCAGGTCCCAGACAGGCCATACCAGCAGCTGGATCTGGCACGTGTATTAGGGCTGTGCGAAATTTCACCACCTGTTTAGTTTCGACACTGTTTCGACTCATTTCGAGGTCAAAACAGCAAAATCACATTTTGAAAGGGCTTTTGAAACAGCCTCGAAACGTTTCTACCATAGCGCTGGTGACGGTAAGTCAGTCCAGCTGGGCTGACTTCCTGTCCCCAGTGCTAGATCAGGCAGGGCCCAGGCAGTCAGCCAAGCTAGGCTGACTCCCCGTGCCAAGCCGGATCTAGCCCTGGGGATGGGAAATCAGCCCTGCCGGGCTGACTTCCCATCACCGGCCGATCTAGCGAAACATCAAAACGGAGTCAAAACAGCCTCACTATTTCGACGAAGCAAAACGGAACAGCTGTTTCTAATAGAAATCAAATTTGATATGAAACGCTGTTCCAGCAAAACCCCGAAACTCAAGGCAAAACAGAACGGTAATGTTCTGCACAGCCCTAATGTGTATGTGGGGCAGGGAGGGTCCGGTCTCATAGATCCCACAACATGCTGGATCCAACACCTGCTTTGGCTGGTCTGGTAAGCGAGCAACACACAACTGATCCAGCGAGTGGGGTCTGCATGCAGCACAAGTCTCCAACCAGCTGGAGCGGGTGCCATGTGCAGCTTGTGTTCTAGACCATCCTGAGCAGGGGTTGGATCTGGCATGTAGAGGTGGGGGGGTGGATGCAATTTGGCCTGCACTGCGCATTTGGCCCATGGTTTACAGCTGTGCCACTGGTAGTCCACAAGACCAGATGATTTGGACACTCCCACTTCGTAAGGGCTAGATTCCTGTTTACCTATCGGCAGCTGTAATCTTTGGAGCATGAAATCCATCAGCAGACCCCTGAGCACACATCACAAAGCCTTTATTAGTGTGTTTAATCAATCAGTGACACAGATTACAGAAGCCAAAGGTAATTAAATAACATTTAACTTGAAATTGACCACAGACTTAAGAGATACATGTCACATTTGGCAAGGCAAAATACTCAGTACAGAGGGTGGCTTAGGTTGTTATTACATTACAAAGGAGGAATTTCCCCTACGTGATTCTAAATATTCAGGATATTATTTTTTTGTGTCTTTCAGACAGTTGCTTTGGCAATAACTTCATTTTTTTAGCTTTTATTATATAAAAATATAACAATTTTTCCTTTATATACAAACATTACATTACACAATATACAGGTTAAAAACACTACAAAAAATGGCAGGCTCGAGGTGAACTAAAAGCAAAAGAGCACAGTAAGAAAAAAACCCCCAAACCCTTAAATTAAATACTGCACATTTCATAAAAATTACATTAGCTACAAACAGTTTGTTGTTTGCCAATATCAAACAGTACCAATGTGATTGGAAGTCTTTCCCAACAACTTCATTTTTAAGGCACATCTTGCTTATTTCTATGTACAACACTGTATCTGGTCAATAAGTTAAGGGCTCTTGAGAGTGACCTAGTAGTGTGCGCATATGTACATGTGCACCAAGATGAAGGATGAGTTAAACTTTCTCGCTGGCATCATTCTGGGGGCCTATGTATCTGGTTGATGGGGCTTGGTATAGGGGCACCCCTATTTCCTGAAGGTCTGGGAGTCTCCCAGGGCGGGGAGGGGAGAGCAACGTGATTGTCCTGTCAAAGTCTCTGTGTAACACTTTCTCGTAGACACTCTGCAGCCCCACTGTCTTGGGCAGCTGTGCCTGGTAGTAGCTGTCCCTGTGAAGGGGGTCCCTGGGCAAGGAGGTGCTTTTGCAGAAGGTGGACAGCTGAGCTGGAGGGCGGGGAGATGAGTGAGTGTTGGATCGGCCACAGGAGGGGCTCCAGCAGCGATCTGAATGGCCCAGGATCTTACATTCAGCTGTACAAGCCCATAGTCCTAAAATACAAACAAGAACAGGAAGAAAAATAAACTAAATCACTGCAGGAATAATCACTACTGAGTTATCACCAAGCTCATTAAAAAACTACGGAGACTGATGAGCAATATTTTGAGGGACTCTGAAAGCTGCAGTTACTGCATTTAGTTGGCAAGCCCAGACTCACAACAGGAAGGACGCATTTTTTGAAAGAGAATTACAGCACTCCAACTTCTTCTACTCTACACGATGTGCCTGGTATGTAGAGAGCTGCAACTGGCATGCAAGAGAAGAGCTAGCATGTCATCCCTGCAATGACTTGAAAAAACATGGAAAGCCCGTAGGACTCCATTACCAAATTACCAGTCTATTTTTTTTCTTCCTCCTGGGGAGGATTTTTAGTGAGGTCATAGCAAGTAACAGGTCTGCACCCCCATCAAGGGCTGAATCCATACCATTCTGCATGTGAGTGATGAGATCCTTCTTCAGGGCCTCCCCACTGATGTCAGAGTCACTGTCATTGAAGTCGCTGTCACCTTTGCCACTGTCTTTGCCGCTGAACTTTTCCGCTTCTCGACCGGATATGGTGTTGAAAGAATGACCCTTCCAAATGGGCACTGGAGGAGCCGACTCTTTGCCGTAGCTGGGAGCAGAGGCATAAGGCTGGAAAAGAGGGGAAAGGATAGGGTGTGTGGGAGATGCAAGTGAATACATGTTCACACCTGAAACTTCTCCAGGTCCCTTGTCCTCCAAAGCACCCCTCACATATGTCTGTATCTGAAATGTTTCCAGATCCCATCTCCTTCAAAGCCTCCCTTCCCCTCAGCAGCCCTCCTCTCAAGTCCCCAAAGCCAAAGCATGAATGGATCTTTGTAGAGATCACTTACCTCTGCATTTGTTCCTCTCAGTCGTTTCTGACCCTCATAAAGATAGGCGTTGTCACCATTGTTCTCAGAAGAGGCGGCCTCCTCTGTGGCTGGGGAAGGCTCTGGGCTGGTGAAAGATGCTTTGCTGGGAAAGGCTCGTACTTCAAACATGTTGCCCTTGGGGACAGCATCTTCCTGCCTCACCTTCTCCAGGTGGGAGATGTCAATCTGCTCCTTCAAGGGTCCATTGTTCCTGAGCCTGGTCTCCTTCTTGCGCTTGTTGCAGGTGGTGGCAATGGTGATGATGGCCACCAGCAAAAGTGTGCAACTGCCCGCCAGGACGATGATGACAATCAGAGGAACATCCCATTGCAAAGCTTTCCCTTCCCAGGAGCTGGGTTTGGCTACTTCGTGGCTGCTGGAAGGCACCGTGGCAGTCACTAGGAAGTTGACTGTGGCTGTGGTGGAAAGTGGGGGCTGACCATGGTCCATTACAGTGAGGATGACTTTGAATGTCTGCCCCAGCTCTTCAGACATGTCTCCCATCAGCACGATCTCTCCTGTGTCCCTGTCAATGGCAAAGAGTTCTTGCTGTGGCAATGGCTCTGGTAGGAAGGAGAAGGTGAGCTCAGCATTGTCCCCATCATCTGCGTCCCTGGCTTGGATCTGAGCCACGGGAGAACTGGGGGGCGCCTTGCAGAAGACCCCGATCTCCACAGAGCCATTGTTGAGTGCCGGGTGAACAATGATCGGTGCATTGTCATTCTGGTCCAGCACCGTCACTGTGACAAGGGCAGTGCTGGAGAGTGGTGGGGTCCCACCATCGCTGGCCTCAATGCGCAGGTCCAGCTGCTTGAGGACCTCATAGTTGAAGGTGCGCAGGGCATAGAGGGCGCCAGTGGCAGGGTCGAGGGAGACGTAGGTGGAGACGGGGGCACCGGAGACCTGGGCCTCGAGCAGGCGGTAGGTGACCTTACCATTAGGGCCCAGGTCGGGGTCGCGGGCCAGCACAGTGGCAAGGTAGGCGCCGGGGGGGTTGTTCTCGGGCACGGCCACGCGGCCAAGGGGCGGCGGGGCGAAGAGCGGCGCATTGTCGTTCTCGTCGCGCAGGCGCACAGTGTAGGGCCGCACTGTGCGGAAGGGCGGCGTGCCCAGGTCCTCGGCCACCAGCGTGAGGTTGTACTCGGGCAGGTGCTCACGGTCCAGCGCGGCCGCCGTCACCAGCACGTAGCTGTCGCCGTAGGCGCGCCGCAGCGCAAAGTGCTCGTGGCCGTGCAGCGTGCAGCGCACCTGCCCGTTGGCGCCCGAGTCGCGGTCCCAGGTGCTGACCAGCGCCACGAAGCTGTCGCGTGGCGCCGCCTCGCTCACGTAGAGCACGCCAGGGCCGGGCTCAGGGCTGCCACTGGCACCCAGGAGGGGCCCCGGGGGGCCGGCGGCGCCCAGGCCCAGGGGGCTGAGGCGGATGCCGGGTGCGTTGTCGTTGACGTCGGCCAGGCGCACCAGCACAGTGCAGGTGGCGGCCAG